TGGGAGATGACCAAAGAAAGTCGAACCTTATTTTGGTCAAGGAATATGTACTGAAAACTCTCCTGTCTATCAACATTAAATATTATTATTAATTGAACATTTCCATGTAATAATAACTTATGGTCAAAGTGCTTGACAAGGGAGATGCCCAGCTTTCCTATACAGCTCACTGCCTAGTTCTGGGAGAAGAGTTTCAAGCGAGGTGTAGCAACCCCAAGTTTCACAACATTCAAGAACACATGTATACAACACACAGGTATAACACCCAGATTTTTATTTCAAGTGCCCACTTTAAGGGATACACAAGAAATTCCAACACAGTGCACTCCACATTGTAAGCACTCAAAAATTCTTTCGTTGACTGAACAGAAACAACCATGTATTCACATCATAATTCAAGCTTCCTCATTCTCACCCTAACTTTTTTTAAACATATCAACTCCCAAGTGCTGGGGGCCTAAACACCAAACATGGAATATGAAAATATGGAACTGTCATACCTGCTTTGTTTCTGTTGATGACATGTGGTTATACTTATGGTGGCAATGCTATGTGAAGGGTTACCTTCATTTTAAGAAAGAAAGGTAAAATTTACTGAACATCTAATATGTGACTCATACAGGGACCAAGGCAGACTGCCCCAAATGTTCCACAATGACATACTGATTACTCTGGATTAAAATCACTGGAGACCCAGCAGATGCAGGAGGGATTGATTCTCTGATCCCCCTCTCCCCCACGCCTTGAAATGAGGATACCAATCTCCATGTGAAGGGTGCCCTTCCTGCACCTGGTGGTAAAGAGACATCCTTATCCTCAGGGGCAGGGGATTCAAATCCAAAGAAGCCTCTATAAACAAACCTTGTGAATACTTTTTACCAATTCACCACCCCAGCCCAAATGCTACTTAGAATTCCTTACTAGCTGAAGTTCCCAAACCTAAATTTCCTCTGTGCTGTTGATGTCTCACAGATTATGTTTGTCTAAAATCACATATTAGATGTCCAGTATATAAAAACTCCATGCCTTGGTCATTTGTTTGGGTCTCAATTCCATTATTGGCCTCCATACATACATAATTATACTTTGGCTTTTCTCCTGTTCATCTCTCACGTTAATTTGACTGTTAGAAGAACCTTGAACAACAGAAGAAAGTTCTTCCTCCCCAACATAATTCACCTCATTTCAGCTTCTCAATAACCCTGTGGAGTATGTCTTAATACCCAATGTTTATATATAAGTAGAAACTGAGGTTCAGAAAAGCTATGGACCTAAGATCACCTGTTAGTAACAGAGTTCAAACCTACATCCATATACTTTTATTTTTCTCAATATTTATGTAATCTAAGAGGTGTTATTATATAAAAACTTCAACCAAAAATGCAGGCTAAGTTACTAAAAAGTACATGGAAAATGTCATTTCTCATTTGTCATCTGTGACAAATTCTTTCAGAGCATCTGCCCATGAAGGCACTGTATCTTCCCCAGGGATATAATGTTGTCTTTGCCCACAGGGAACTGACAGTCTAATTGGAGAAACAAGTCTTTAGGTAAGTTTTTAATGTAAGAGGCAACAAGAGCTATTGGAAAGGACAAGGATTTTAGACACATTTCTATGTGAATTTCAGTACTTACTGTGAACTTTGGATAAGATACTTAAATTTCTTCAGCTGTAAGGTTAGAATAACTTACTATCTCTTAGGGCTCTAATGAAGCTTAAATGAGACAACATATGAAACAGTTGGCTTAGTATTTGTTCAGTCTTTCCCCAATGAAGTGGTACAAGTTAAGTGTCAATGAGTAGAATATCAGTAACTAATACTGAAAAGATCAATTTGGCCCAATGCCAAAAAAATTCAGAAACAAAATCCCACTCCTTACACTTGAAAACTGATCTGTGGAAACGGCTCAGTCATTAGCATTTAGGTTTGTCACTTATAACAGAAGCAGAATTAAACATACAAAGGGCTCACACCTGAAGTACAAAACTAATAAACAGGAGCACAATCATGTTCAATTTTTACTTTGGGTGAGTATCATCTTTTTGTGCAAAACTGCCAATTTAAAAGGAAAACTCCCTTTTAAAGTAAAAGTGGATGGCAAGTAAATGCAGTATTGGACCTGAATCATTGAACAGCAGGGTGTATCTGTAGTTTAGTTAATGGTGATGTACCTAGGATAACTTTTAAGTTTTGACAAATGTGCAACTTTTCTATACATCCAAAAGTGTTCCAAAATAAAAAGCTTATTTTTTTAAAAAGTGGATGACAATGAATAACGACAACACACAGCAACTCTTAGGCCCCCCACCTCTTGCTTTAGAATCTCCTGAAGACAGCCATTAACAGCAAAGGCTGTGATATCAGCCATTGCTCACCACCTCTGCAAGCTAAAGTATAACTACAAGGAACACCTGGAGTTTAATTAATATTTTTACTTTTTAAAGTGACTTACTTGTCCACTTCTCCCTAGCATACTGTTGCAAAATACAGACTTCCTGATATTTAAATTTTGTTGTTGTTAAAAAAAAAAACAGCAAATTTCTAACAGTTAACTCTTTTCTTGACTGAGCCATTCAATCAGAACTTAAGTATTTCTCACTACAATAAGGTATAATATGAATTTGAAAGTCTAATGACAAGTGACATTTAGCTCAGGGCTAAAGGCAGGCATTAAATGTCCTGTTTCCATAAATAAGGGAGTCAAATTCTCTTTATTATACAAAACTCAAAGAAGAGTTAATATAGTGATAGAAAATGAACTAAGGCATTTTTATTCCTGGGTCAAATAATGGCTGTTACACAATTTTTTTTTAAGTACATGTTCATTTATTAAGAGTCACATTTTAAGTGGTTGTAAAGTTTTCTAGCTGTGTGTCCAACAAGATAGCTGAAGCTTTCGTATTCTGGGGTCTTCTAGAAAGGGCTTACTTGCATACCAGAAGATAAATCCAAATTGGTGACAGAGGATTGAGAGAGCAGCAGTTTCAATGTGTACAACTGACATACACACTCATATATACAGGCACTGTTACTGCTTAACTCAGTTGAGAAGCATTCCCTAAACTTTTTTTTTACAAATGTAGAATTTAGAGGGCAATTTTCAAATTTCAAAGAAACCTTAATAATATTTCCAGATTTCAAAGAAGGAAAAAAATAAGTACAGCAATGCAGCAAAGTCATTTCTCCTGCTGAAATGACCTCCAGCTTCTACGAGCTACTCCCGGTTTCGCAATAAATGAATCTGAGACTCAAACCACGTACACACAAACCGAGTAGAGGCTGAGAACACTAAAGCTTCCCCAACAGTCCTTGCAAAACCCACCTGCCCTCCCTCAACCCTCCCAGTTCCCCTTCCCGTTCACACACAGTTACCTTGACTTCGACCAGGAAAGGAACACAGGGATTAATCAGGAGCCCAAATCCTGTTTTATCCTCTTGTACAGCCACTATCCCTGGAATCCAGAGTGCTACTAACCTGTCTTCAGGGAGGCAGAACTAAACCAGCAGAGCACAGGGGTATAAATTATACGCATCTGAAACGCCAAACCAGCAGCTCAAATGTCAATTAAACGAAAAGGGTTTCGCAAATAATACCTCAAAAGAACATTTCCACTTCCAAACCACCCACCAAGCTCACCACGGCCAGTACCCAAATTCGGCTGAAGCAACCCAGGGAAATAAGCATGCCTTACCTTGTACAAATCTCGACATTTTAGGATTTATTAAAATATCCTGGCTTATATGTATATATATTTTTAAATTTCTAGAGCAGTCACTCTATAGAGCAGGTCTCTCTTCCCTGCTTTAATCGACGTGTTCTTGTTCCTCTTCCTACGTTTAGTCACTTAAGGGAGAATTTATTCAAAGCCATTAAAACTGCCTCCAAAAAAAAAAAAAAAGACAATAAAAGAAAACAGGAAAACCTCCCCTACTTCAAAAGACAGAAACTTAGCGCGGAGAGTCCGCTTGAAACTCCTGCCTACACTGAGCTCCCGACACAAACGAGGGCCAACTGGAGACGCCCGGAAAAGGTATAATCACACGAACTTAAATTTCATCAATGAAAGAGGCGGATCTACAGCGGCTATTTCACCGCCCCCGGGTCCCCACGCCCTCCGGGCTGGACCGCCGCAGGGACTGGCGGGCCGCACCCCCGACTCCCCTCCCCTCGCTGCTGTCCAACCTCCAGCCGGTTCCCCAGGAAACCCATCAACAGGAGCCCCCGGCCAAGCAGAAGTCGGGAAGCGGGAGAGGCCCGCGAAGAAGGGCAATACCACCTTTCCTACCAGCCTATAAATACTCTGGGATTGGGAGGCTTTAAGAATTCCCCACGCCGGCCGGCGAGCTGGGACTTCCAGCCCCCCGCCTTCCCGCGGCTAGGGGCCAAACCTAGCCGCGCGGGCTTTTCTCGGGCGGGCCGGGGGCTGCGTTGCCCCTCCCCCTCAGCGGACATCACGGGGCGAGGGGAGAACCCCTGTGCCTCCAGCAGCCCGAGAGGGCCCCGACCTTCCCTCCACCCCACACACATTCTAGTCGCTCCTGCCCAGCGCTCTTGCGAACCCCAGACTCGGCCTCCCGAGCCCCACCGCAGGTCGGGGAGAGTGGCTCTACACACCCGCCCCTCCCCGAACCGCCGAGACCCACCTTCCTCTTCCTGTAGGAACTGGGAAATTGGGGTCGTTTATGACGCCTGGGGAAAAGGCTCGCAGGCTGAATGTCACATCTGAGGCCCCCTTCTCGCTCCCCTTCTCCCCTCACATATGCACACCTTGAACCCTTTGCCAGCAATCGTAGGCCAGGGGCTGGCCGGGTTGCCGATTCCCGACATCCAATTGCCCACTTTTCCCTATACACCTCCCCTCCCCCTCCTTTTGGAGCAGCCCCCTCAATGCGGAAATGTGCCCCCCGCGCAGACAGACAGGAGCAGCCACCAGTCAGGAAACGAGGCGGACACAGATCCCGGCCAATGAGATGCACGTAGGTGGCAGGGGCGGGGCGTCTGCAGCCGGAGAGAGCCCGGCTGAGGTGGGCTCTGCGTCTGATCCTGGCATCTGGCGGCAGGGCCGCACCTACGGCGACGGGGCCAAGGGTGTATCACCAGTAAGCCTCCGACATTTCTACGGATACTTCAGCAAGGGAGAGAACCTGAAGCACAACTGGTTATTTCTGCAGTCCGTTAAAATGTTCCCGTTTCTCAGAGTTTGAAGATATCTAGCCTGCCGGAAAGCGCGAGAGCACCTCACAGCACCTACCCCTAGAGCCCAGGCCCTCCTCAGTAGACACAAACTCACCGCATTTGTTCTGGGGAGGGTGAAATGCGTTAAGGAGTAAGCAGTGAGATGTGTGGTGCCCACTAACAGGAGCAGGGATTTAGGGCATCGAAGAAAGTGGCAAGTAAAGGCTCTCCCCGCAGAACCACCACGCCCGGTTCCTATTCCTGTTGAGATTTCTGCTGTGATAGGTGTTTACTTTTCTGATCAAAGTGGCAATAGCTTGTTACCTCTCAAGACGCTTATGTTAATAGATCTTAAAGTCCCCAGGAAAGAGAATGGTAAGAGAGAACGTTGGCAGAGGCATGAGGACTGCGAGAGGGCCAGCCCAGCGCCCGCTAAATCACACCTGGTGATGCCAACCTCTCCTAACTGTAAGGCTCAGGGCGCCTGTCAATGGGCGTATCTCATACTTCACATTTCATGATTCCGTCAGCCTCCATCGGGACAGATGAATTGTCAGCGCTCTTAGGTGCCTCCGGAAAACCAGCTAACACCAAAAGAGTTTTGGACAATAATCAACCAAGGTAAAGTGAGAATTTTTAAATGACTCATGCTCTAAACAAACTTTGTTTCGGGCCATATATTCGTATGAAAAGTTTTTAGACAAGTAACACAGAAAAGGCTGGTGATTGATTTATCATACTAGAGAGTGACAACCCTAGGTACTATATTTCTTATGTGAAATCCAAAAAGACTACATCCAAAAACCTGCCAGCTATTAAACTAATTTTCCCAAATAAAACCAAGGGAAGTGTCTAAAATCCAGATGTCTACATTTTAATAACGCCTTTTGTAGATGACGATCTTAACCAGAATTGCTACATCCTTTGTGTACAGTAGAGAAATTATCCTAGCACTAAATAAGCAGTATTTATCAATCAGTGTTAACACCAGAATGAATTACCACCAAAAGATTTGGGCCGCATAGGGTTGCTTAGCCTGCAAAAGATGAAGGGCAATGAGTCCTTAATTACACGAGATTTACTGTAAAAGGATGATCAGTAATTTTTCACATTCACAGAAGATCAAAGGAGAGGAAGTGAGTTTTAATTGCAGCAAGAACATTTGGTAATACCTAAGAATGACTTCTTGATTTGTGAGTGATTAAATATTGAGATGTAATACCAAAGGATATTGCACATTTACTGCCTCAAGATATCTCCAAAAAGCAAGCAACTACCTATCTTCGAAGTTAAATTCTATAACCCCCCAGAGGCTCTTAGAGAAGTAGCATGCTGGAGGCCGTATTCCCAGTCATATTCCCACCATTTCCAAATAGTGCCCTGTAAAATGGAACCTCTTTATATAGTGGTTTAAATTTCAGTTCTAAACTTCCAAAAATTTTGTAAAAGAGGCTTACATTCCCTCAGAGCCACTAGAAGCAACTTCACTTGGCAGATCACATGGGGATAGGGGAGAAAGATCACAGTCATGGATCAATTTCAAGTCTGCTTAGAAAGCAGTTGTCTATTTCTCTATACATTTATACATTTTAACACCTGAAAAATTGCTTTCTCCGGGCATGTGTGTTTGTGGTAAATCCTTTTTTCCAAATACACTAAAATTTCCCTTCAAGATGCATGATGCTGAAAGCTGTATCATTAGGAATCTGTAACATGGACAGGTAGATGTACAGATTAAATCTTGTAGAAACTTCGGCGGGGATCTAAAGGAGGATGAAGTTGGGGGCCTATGAACAAGTGTGTGCGCAGTGATGAGTTGGGATGAGATGGACTGTAAACAAAAAAGAAGCCTGGGAGCCAGTTTTTCACTGGAACCGTATGCTGCCATCCAAGGATGATATAAATTCTGCCTATGTTTTTCTCATTTCTTCTTTCTACTTCCCCATAGAAACAAAGAAAATTTAGTTGTATGTCCTGGGATGTATAACAACCTTGCCATACCTTTTTCTTTAAATAGGAACATTCTGTCAACAACAAGAAAACAATGGTTGTTGCCCTATTTCTAAACATACTTTTTGGTGTTTTTTTAGGTTTAGGGCTTGGCACATTGTCTGGTACATAGCAAGCACTTGGTAAGTATATGCTAAATGACTGGTTTAGTGCCACTGTATCATTTTAACTCAGTGTTATATCCTGTTTTCTACTCTCTGAGAGCTGTATATAAGATAAAACATTTAATTTATATTTAGAGGTAAAGAACTTTTAAGTTGCAGTTATTTCCACAAGTTCCAGAATGTGAACTTGGGTTAAAGTGCAACAATAATAGCAGCAAATGCAATGTCCTGATGATTTTACAGTAAGCTGTGCTAACTACCCAACATGAACATTGATAAGAAGTGGTTTAGAAATTGCTGAACTATGAAAGAAGTATACAGATCAGCAATATGTCTGGTCTTTTATTTATTTTTTCTTGTCTATCCTAACTCCATCCCCTACACCCAAGAAAATAAAGCAGTGCAGTATGGGAGAACATGTTGAGAGACATAAAAATTTCTGTCATGCCCAAAGTGTTCAGCTAGAGACAGGCAACAATTATACACTAGACTGTTGCCCACACTCAATATTGGCTCCCATCTGTGCCCATCAAAATCCTAGGCCACCCACCTGAAAGAGGAAAGAGGGGGCTACTGTTAGTCAGAAGTTGCCAGTTAGATCTAACAGTAGGGCATTTTACTTTGACTCAAAAAGTAACCAAACAGGGTTAACTGGAAAAAAATAATCAAATAATATCTGTGAGACAGACTACTAATGAATGAGTAGTCTAAAAAATGAATGGTGTTTCCAAACACTTGAGGAAGAGAAAGACTTCATTCTTTCCTGTTGCCAACACCCCGTTAATGAATCAGGAAGTTTGCTGAAACAAGTTGTGAATTTAAATTATGACATATCTTTCAATTTGTTCATAGTATCATTTTTAAGTTATGTTTGAAGGTTATGTATTACAACAGTAGCAATTATTTCAAATACCTAAGATACTTTAAAAAACAGGGTTGTCTCATATAACATATAATTATCTAAAGCATTGATACGCCAATCTTCTAAGTAGTTTTAAGTCTTCAGGTTCACAAGAATGCAGTTTAACCACAACGTGCATTACCTTATTCACGCTTATTGATAATTCCCCTTTAGGTTCTCCTTTGAAAGTTGTATAGAAGGCAGATCCTTAGTACGTTGTCTCCTCTTTCTCCTGTTCTTCATGTTACCCAGAGGAGAGTGTTAGTGAAAAATAGTGATGCCCATGAAACTGTTATATCTCACCTGCAGACATGCACCCCACTTCCCCTATTATGGAGGGAAGGGAGTCATTTCCTTTAATCAGTAGGCCCAGAAATAACCATAAATAAACACCCTGTATTCTCTCAGGGTTTTTAATAAACATAGATTTTTATGTAATCATAACTTGGAAATTTAAAAAAAAAACTCACTAAGAAATAGCATATCTCTGACTCAACTTACAAGATAAATATTATCCTGCATTTCTATAGTGATGAATGTATAGTTACTTATGCTTATTCACTTTGAAATCCTTATAGAGAAGAACTGTGAAATAGAAAAGTATTCAGTTTAATCCTATTTTTAGTTCCTCTTTCAACCATACTAAAGATTCCCTGTTGTACATATCATCAAATGTCTTTTGATGGTTTTCCAAACATCTCTGCCTCTGGTCCAGTTTATTAAATTTCTTGCCAGTGCCACCAATGGGAAGGAAAAGATAAAGAACTTCTGTTCCCTAACTTAGTCTCAGGAAATTTATTTTAAGCATTTTACACCTTAGCTACATATTAAAGAAAAGATCTTCTGGACTATTCTTTGGATGAGGCCTAAATAATTGGGTAATTATATGTCATTATGTGTAATATGATTAGAGAATAAAAATAACAGTGTTTTTCCTCTCTAAAATGAAAAGGAAGAATATCATATTTAGAGAAAAATGTGCCATATTAATGTAAGTTCTAGTACCATTTTTAATTGAACTCTTAAAAATATTAAAATATCAAATATTTAAAGTAAATATTGGCTATGTAAATTAATGCTTTATTACTTAAAATTAGATCTTTAAATATTAAAGTTGAAATATTGTTTTAAAACATCCAACCACTACCAAAATGCCCATAGTAAATAGCAGCAGTACTCTCCTTCCCTACCTCCTCTTACTCCAACTCTACACCCTAGAGGCAACCATTTGCTTCTGACAGTTACCTCAGTTATATAATCTGATAGTCATTTCTAAATGCTTATATTGCTATTTCTTTGGTTATGGGGTTTTAGGCATTACATGTTTGACTTCCTATTATAATAGATAGATATGGACTTTGTTCATTTATACCCCCTTCTTTTCTCCAGTGTATTAGTCTCCTAAACTCTGTAGAGCTGTATTTTCCAACCTTGTCCTTGTCATGGCACAAAATGGAAATGACAATTTTGTATGGCTTCTGTGGGGTAAATGGAAGTTTTCACCCAGAATTTCCAGAATTTCCTGCCTGGACTTAGTCCATTTGCATATCAATGGATGTTTACCACAGCGGAGTCTCTGGTAGATCCTGGGCAAGGGGTGGAGAGAAAACAGTCATTCTCTGCTCCCCTTCCATCCTGATACCTAATTGGTCTGGTACTCACCAGTCACCAAGGACCTGCTCATGGAGTTCCTGCAGGAAGGGGTGGGCTGGGGGAGCAGGAGCATGCACTGTGGCCGGAGGGCTTGGCTAGCAAACCTGAGCAAGCTGTAAGAAATAAAAACCTTTCTCCCAACCAGCCCTTTCCCTTGACTTATTTTGGTTTCACCAGATTCATAGGGAACTTGTCTCATGAGGGGAACCCCCTTATTTCTGGAGCTATATCATCCTAGGGAAATGAGAGGAAATTTAGGGACATCTATATTGGACTTGGTAAAAAGTGAATTGCTTTTTAAATATTCATAAAATTATGAAAATAGAAATAAATGTAATAAGGGAAATACTAAATACTGAATTTGTATAAAACTCTGAATAAAATATTTTGAAATTTTTGAATGAGAAATTAGAACTTGCCTGCATGAACAAAACCTTTTTAAATCAGGTTTAATGCTTGAAATAGCTGCATATAGTTTCATATCAAGACTTTCAAATGCTAATCACTTCAAATTCTTAATAGTCACTGTGGTAAGCTGAATGACAGCCCTCAAGGATACCCAGTTCTTAATCCTTGGGACATGTGAGTATGGTACAGGGACTTCAGAAATGTGACTAAATTAAAGATTCTCAGATGGGGAGATTATCCTGGCATATTTGAGTGGGCCCTAAATGTAATCACAAGTGTCCTTATAAAATGTAGGCAGAGGGAGATTTGAAGACAGAGAGGAAAAAAGTGATGTGATAATGGAAGCAAGGGGAGGATGGGGATATGATTTGAGGCCATGTGTTGAGAAATGAAGACAGCCTCCAGAAGCTGGAAAAAGCAAGGAAATAATTTTCCCTCAGGGCCTCCAAAGGTAGCATGGCCCTGAAGACACCTTGATTTCAACCCAAAGAAACCTGTTTAGGACTTTGGGCCTCCAGAACTGTGAGAGAATAAATACATGTTATAAACTACCTAGTTTGTGGTAATTTGTTTCAGAGCCATTCAAGGGAAACATTGACACATAGGTAATTAAAAAAAATTTTTAAACCATATTTTGCAACCATTCAAAATATAGTGGTTGATACAATATTCAAAGAACCTAACAGCTCTTCTTATTGACAAACACAATGATGAAATTGGTGTGATAAGGCAAAAAGATTTTGAATCCAACTAAATTTATATGTAGCAAGTATTTTAAAGTAATAATGAAGCTTTAATTTGTAAAATATACACATTGTTGGATCAGTTAGACCGAAACTATTTTGGATGCCATTAAAGAGCACAACAGTTGCAAACAACAAGAAGTATCTGATGTCTGTAAAGTCAATTTCAGAGCCACCAGAGTTACACCATCCAGGAGCTCCATGCTGGCTGTGATGTGCTGAGCATAGCCAAGAAGGTATTCTACCATCTGGATATCTACTTCAGCAGCCAGCTGCTAAGCATACTAATACTCACTTTGGATAAGAGACCTTGGAACTACTGGATGTATTTCATCATCCACTACACTTGCAGAGACTCTGTTCCTCTTGGGCCACCCTCTGATAAAGGCTGCTAGAAGCTAGAGGAAACCAGCCCAAGGGATCTCAATTGCCTGCCCCAGGCCTAAAGGTGCAACATCATGCTTCACAGCTGTAAGCTCTTCAAGCATTGAATTAGAAAATTCTGGTTTATATTACTCCTCCCACCACTGTTTGGCAGCACACCAAGAAAATAAGAATTTGCAGCAGAAAGCAGTCCTGGGAGAAAGAGACCATTCTCAGTTATCAGTGACTTTCAACCATAGTTTTACAGAGAAAACGTTAGAGATTGGAAAACCTACTGAAGTTCTGACTTTGCATGGATCCATACAGTAACAAAACAGTTCAAATAATAAATTTATTGACAACTGTCTGGATTTGGAGCATCATAGACAGATTCAGAGACTTTAAGCTATTTGATACTGTCTCACCTGAGGGGGATTGCTCCTGGGCAAGTTCACTCTGAATTCGGTGACACCAAATAACAACAAAATGGTAAAAGGGTTTATACCAAGCTTTATTCTCACAGTGGCAGGTCAAGTGCTGGAATCACACCTGCCTCTGGCAAGTTCGCAATTCATCTCTGCTTCCCAGCAGAACACTGGGTGCAGCTCTTTATATAGTAACACTGACAATAATGGCTCATTGCCAGTGGGTGTGTAAGTACTAGCCTACACAGTAGGGCACAATTACATCATCAAGTAGACTGGGGTCAGGTTAGGATCCTGGCCATAGGAACTTCCATTTTCCCTGTAGATAAGTAAACCTTTATAGCATGGAATGGAGACCAGGCAAAACCGCAAATGGAGTAACAGGATAATAAAAGAAAAAAAGAATCCAGATAGACCAAAATTTTCCTTAAGCCATGTCTTGCCAGTGGGTTTCAGCCCAGGGCAAGTTCGCTATGGATTCAATGTGACCAAAGAAATTGATAGCTAAATGTTCTTTGGGGTGAA